TATTAGTTTTTTTTTTTTCGCTGTAAGTTTTTTTGAAAATTTAGAGCAAAACATGCAAAAATGATTCAGCTAATGACAGCATATTACTGATAATGTTATGATAAATTTCAGCGATAACGAGCATTCACTGTTATCCACTAACTGGCGGATCGTGCCCTGATATCATCATCGGCAAAGAGGATGGTCTTATCGAGATTTATACAGTAGATGATTCTGATCAAGCCACTTTCTACAAGAGTTATGTACGCAATAAACTGTTTCATGAAAATGCTGTTTAGAAAGATTTAAGCCATTCCTTTCAGAAATTTGACCTCATTTTGCTCTAATAATTTCTGGTGTCCATCATTCAGTCAGTTCTTGAAGAGGTGTTGCACATGCTTATAGGCGCCGAGCATTAATTTGTGGTTTGCAGCTCAGGATCGAAAGAACTAGCAGAACTGCAATCATTATTGTCAAATTAAAAGGTGCAAATTCAAAATCCACTGTGCAAAAATGGTGGTTCACTGCTCCATTCCTGTTAACCTCTCCAGTAAGTGCTACCTAGTTCTCAGTGGTACTAAAAATTATCGAACAAATATTGCAGCAGTGTGAAGAGTGCGTTGTTAGCGTACAGTGCGGTCGTGTATCGTCAGCAAGTTTTGATGAAATTGTTGTTTGTACCTATACCGGATGGGTCTTTGCGCTTACCACTGAACCCGTCTCAAAACCACGAGCTGATGCATTCTCAGCTCTGTCACCTCAGATTGAAGTCAAAGTTCAACAGCTCAGGTACAATTCAGTCCAAGTTAGCCTTAAATAACCTCGTTATCAGTATTTAAGGATAGCAAATGAAATTTCTAGAATATTCAATCAAAAGTTGAAGCTAACCTCTTCTCTCCCTCGGTATTTATTCTCTCTGATAAGCTTTCTATGTGGGAGCCTGAGCGGCTGCATTTGCTAACAGCAACCCTCCGCTGACAAAGCTACCAGTGGTTCCCTCGAGGGTTGCTTACAAGCAAGTTAATGGCGGATTTGATTCCTTAGCATATGCCAGTCCCGATTTACTATAGAAGATAAAGAATAAACAAATCTATGATGAATTGGTAGTCATACTGGTTGCACCCTCAAGCTTCAGCACGATGCTGTCGATACTTCCTACTGCGCCATATCCACCAGCGGTAGCTCTGCCCGTATTAAAAGTACCTAAGCTGGTGCGGGTGATAAGTTTTTTTGCACGATACACTGCAACATAAATTTGGTGGTACTGCAAGAGGCTATTTGTCTTGAGGTGGACGGCTGCCTTGTGAAAAGAAGCCTGACAATGTTACCTGAAAAAGAAATCCCAAAGCAGCGTTTTCTAAAGAAGCTTATCGAACTTCCTCAACAGCGCTTTTAGGAATGAGCTCGAAGAACTGGAGCAAAAAGTTGTGGAGGAACGGCAGCGATATCACGAGTTAACACTACAGGACCAAAGCGGCGCCACATCAATGATACCACGTTTTGCGATCCAAGACCAGTGCAAACTGGATAGAGACCTTGCCTGTTATGCAATCGTCATTGAACTCATCGTCCCGATAGATTACATTTTGCTTCAGGTTTCGATACTCTTTCGATAGAACTTCCTTCATTCATAGCTTAGTCTGTTATCTCATCCTTTTTTCCTTGCAATTTCTTTTTTATTCGTAGTTTTAGTGTTGTTCAAGAGTAGTGCGGCAAATTTTGGCGCATCCAGAAATTTAGTACAACTTTGGGAATTTAAATTTCTGAATTCACGTTGCCTGTTGTTTGCTATGAAATGTAAGCTAACTTAAAATCCACAAAAAACCTCTCAAAGATGCTTTGGCCGTTTTATCAAACTTCAGAAAGATAGCATTATCAGCGCTCATTCCATCGGTATCTTCAAAATAAATATTAATGCATACCTGGAAACCGGGAAGGCAGTGCATTTTTGCAAGAAGTTGTTCTGGGTGCAAAGTCTTATTAGGTACTACAATATGCAAATAAATGATGCGTCTATGTTTATTACTCTTTCTGCACCACTCTGTACCACTGACTTTTGCACCACTCTTTCTGGACTTCCGTAAGATCTATTATTGTTGAATGATTGGTGCTCGTGGGTCTGACCAGTGGCCGGACACTCAACAATCTTCATCACACCAAAACAACTGCTATTTCCATCGGCCAAACACTAATTCTTGAAAACCCAAACTTTCATCGTCAGTTTCTCCACTGCATTACCGCTGATAAAAAAGTTACATGTAAAATGAAAAATTTCCACTGTCCATCTCACGATTATTCAGTGCTTACAAATTGCAGAGTGACGTAGCTGTGGAACTGCTGGATGTGGAGAAGAATTCGGCGGTAGTATCGATCACTCCAGCAGACGAGGGGGTGAATTTTCTTCTACTTTTACGTTTTATGCGTTTTTGCATCTTATGCTTGGAAACTCTTAAATCTAAGTATTATCTTGAATTGCACGTAACCACGCCTTAAGGCACATCAAAGATATTTGTGGCGAAACAGCAATCTCGGGTATCAGAAAAGCAGCAAAGTACAAATTTTGCAAGGAATTTTTTACATTCATATGTGGCTTAACTCCTTGCACACGGACATGATAAACGCTTATTTGTAGCAAAAGTGAGTATAGTTTGCTCGGATTTCTCTGCTCTTTTCTCTCAACATCCTGTTCATTGTATAGCTTACATTTTGAATGGCAGACCGATTACATGGAATTAGTCGTTTCCTTTCATTAAAATTTACGGTAATCATACGTAACGGAGCTAAGA